TATAATATTAATACTGACAAAAACAGACTAAATAAAATAGAACCAAGCTTCAGACTTCATGTCTAACCAAAAGACACATCTCAAATCACAACAAACACACCAGGGAAACAAAATTCATGAAAATAAGTACTTTAATATAATTTTCTATCATTATTGGTTTGAATTTATAACTTGGAATTAAAATATTTCCCCAAAGAATACTCACTTAGGTAAATGGATACTGCTTTAAAAATATTGTATCTTGGATTAAAAGATTACAAATACAATCACAATAACATTCTTTTTTCTCACTACTTTTCCAACCAGAAAGGAAGTAATACAACATTTTCAAGAACCATTACTTTCCTAAATTATTCAAGATTAATTAATTGCAGAGGGGCACCTGCCAGGAGGCTCAGTCGGTTGAGCATGTGACTTCGGCTCAGGTCACGACCTCATGGTTCATGGGTTTGAGTCTCACATTGGGCTCTGTGCTGACAGCTCTGAGCTTGGAGCCTGCTTCAGATTCTGTGTCTCCCTCTCTCTGCCCCTCCCCTGCTTGCTCCTTCTCAAAAATAACATTAAAAATTTGTTTAAAAATATATATATGAGAAAAACTCTGAAAAAAGTTCTATTTCACTATTATTCAGGAAACACAAAATTTAAATATATTCTAATATTTTGGTTGATCAGATTGTTAAAGTTAAAAAAAAATTTATGACACTGGGGTTAACAAAGCAAAATTAAGACATACATAAACACTAATCGTAAGAGAAAAAAAACCTGCCTTTTCTGAAAGGCAGTTTGACTACACATCGTATTCTGAAACAATATTGTTTTCTATAACTCAAATAGGCTTGAAGGGACTTGGAAACATAGGTGAATGATGTTAGTATATAACATAGAAGTAATGCTGGTTCACATGTCTTTTTTTTTTTTTTTTTTTGCACTACCCACTATGAAGTAGTTGAATGCTACGTACACGAATAAAGCTGAACATCGTACTAGATACAATACTCATCCATTTCACTTTCTTCTCTTAGTTTCTAATGTGACCACATGCTGACTTGTAAGTTCATATTGATTAGAGTGCCCCAATCTTCTTTTGCTTTGATTCCTTAATTCAGCAATCTCAATTCTTCCTTACACATTCTTATTTTTCAAGCAACTTTCCCCTTTTTCTTAAATGCAAAGTACTATATTTAACTAACTTTATTAGAAATAAACTGTTACAAGAGTGCTGGATAGCTCAGTCAGGTAAGTGTCCAACTCTGATTTCAGCTCAGGTCATGATCTCATGGTTTGTGAGGTCAAGCCCCCTGTCAGGCTCTGCGCTGACAGTGAGGAGCCTGCTTGGGATTCTCTCTCTGCCCCTTCCCTGCTGGCGCTCACACACTCTTTCTCTCTCAAAATAAATAAATAAACACTTAAAAAGAAAGAAATAAAATGTTATAAGATTATTACTTAGGTTTGTCCTCATCTGCATAAGGTTTAAACAACCTATTCTGTGAACACCATTTCCCCCCAATCCTTGTCATTATAGTTTGAGATTTTGTAAAACATGAGATCATTCATACATACTCTTCCACACAATTAACTTTAGAGGAATCTAAGAAAATAAATGAACAAAATAACAATAACACATGGACAAGAAGAGTCTACGTTTTAAAATAAATATAAATATAATATATATTATAAAATATATAATATATAAAATATAATATAAATATAAAAATAAAACATTATAGAATTAGTGTCATATGTTTCATTACTATCAAAATCTATTATAAGACTCTTTTTTTAAAATTTATTTTGAGAGAGAGATAAAGAGCAAGTGAGGAGGGGCAGACAGAGAGGGAGTCAGAATTCCAAGCAGGCCCTGTTCAGTAAGTGCAGACCCTGATGTGGGGCTTGAACCCACAAACTGAGAGATTATGACCTGAGCCAAAATCAAGAGTCAGATTGCTTAACTGACTGAGCAAGCCAGGTGCCCCTATTATAAGACTCTTGATTTCATGGTTGTGAGTTCGAGCCCCACATTGGGTATAGATAGTGCTTAAAAACAAAATAAAAAAAAAATGTATGTATAATAAAAAGACAATTAATTTATTAAATTGTTTATTAAAATAAAATTAATTTTAAAATGCAAAAGAATGTCAACAATTTGCTCATATTAATAACTTCCTTTGTTATACATTAAAGTGCCAACTGAAGAAACTTTGAGTAACAAATATAATACCTAGGAATAAACCTATCCAAAGATGTAAAAGATCTGTATGCTCAAAACTACAGAAAGCTTATGAAGGAAACTGAAGAAGATACAAAGAAATGGAAAACATTCCGTGCTCATGGATTGGAAGAATAAGTATTGTTAAAATGTCAATACTACCCAAAGCAATCTACACATTCAATGCAATCCCAATCAAAATTGCACCAGCATTCTTCTCCAAGCTAGAACAAGCAATCCTAAAATTTGTTTTTAATTTTTAAAGTTTATTCATTTTTGACAGAGAGAGAGAGAGAGAGAGAGAGAGAGAGAGAGAGAGACACAGACAGACAGACAGAATCCGAAGCAGGCTCCAGGCTCTGAGCGGTCAGCACAGAGCCCGATGAGGGGCTCAAACTCACGGACACCGAGATCATGACCTGAGCCAAAGTCTGACGCTTAACCGACTGAGCCACCCAGGTGCCCCAGCAATCCTAAAATTTGTATGGAACCACAAAAGACCCCGAATAGCCAAAGTAATTTTGAAGAAGACCAAAGCAGGAGGCATCACAACCCCAGACTTTAGCCTCTACTACCAAGCTGTAATCATCACGACAGCATGTACTGGCACAAAAACAGACACATAGACCAATGGAATAGAATAGAGACTCCAGAACTGGGCCCACAAAAGTATGGCCAACTAATCTTTGACAAAGCAGGAAAGAGTATCCAATGGAAAAAAGACAGTCTCTTTAACAAATGGTGCTGGGAGAACTGGACAGCAACATGCAGAAGAATGAAATTCGACCACTTCTTACACCATACACAAAAATAAACTCAAAATGGATGAAAGACCTAAATGTGAGACAGGAAACCATCAAAACCCTAGAGGAGAAAACAGGAAAAAACCTCTCTGACCTCAGCCAAAGCAATTTCTTACTTGACACATCTCCAAAGGCAAGGGAATTAAAAGTAAAAACGAACTATTTGGACTTCATCAAGATAAAAAGCTTCTGCACTGCAAAGGAAACAATCAACAAAACTAAAAGGCAACCAACGGAATGGGAAAAGATATTTGCAAATGACATATCGGACAAAGGGCTAGTATCCAAAATCTATGAAGAACTCACCAAACTCCACACCCAAAAAACAAATAATCCAGTGAAGAAATGGGCAGAAGACATGATTAGAAACTTTTCTAAAGAAGACAAGCAGATGGCCAACAGGCACGAGAAAAGATGTTCAACGTCACTCCTCAACAGGGAAATACAAATCAAAACTGCACTCAGATACCACCTCACGCCAGTCATAGTGGCTAAAATGAACAAATCAGACTATAGATGCTGGAGAGGATGTGGAGAAACAGGAACCCTCTTGCACTGTTGGTGGGAATGCAAACTGGTACAGCCATTCTGGAAAACAGTGTGGAGGTTCCTCAAAAAATTAAAACTAGATCTACCCTATGACCCAGCAATAGCACTGCTAGGAATCTACCCAAGGGATACAGGAGTGCCGATGCATACGGGCACTTGTACCCCAATGTTTATAGCAGCACTTTCAACAATAGCCAAATGATGGAAAGAGCCTAAATGTCCATCAACTGACAAATGAATAAAGAAAATGTAGTTTATATACACAAAGGAATACTACTTGGCAATCAGAAAGAATGAAATCTGGCCATTTGTAGCAACGTGGGTGGAACTGGAGAGTGTTATGCTAAGTGAAATAAGTCAGGCAGAGAAAAACAGATACCATATATTTTCACTCATATGTGGATCCTGAGAAACTCAACAGAAGACCAAGGGGGAGGAGAAGGAGGAAAAAAAAAAAGTTACAGAGGGGGAAGGAGGCAAACCATAAGAGACTCTTAAACACTGAGAATAAACTGAGGGTTGATGGGGGGGTGGGGAGGAGGGGAAAGTGGGTGATGGGCATTGAGGAGGACACCTGTTGGGATGAGCACTGGGTGTTATATGGAAACCAATTGACAAATTTCATATAAAAAATAAAATAAAATAAATAGATATGTATCATGATAAATGAAATTAATTTTAAAATGCAAAAGAATGTCAACAATTTGTTCATATTAATAATTTCCTTTGTTATACATTAAGGTTCCAACTGAAGAAACTTAGTTTCAATAACAAATACAATACAATCTGATAGTTAAGGACAATGAGTACATTCCATAGAAACTTAGCTAGCTCAGACATTTTGTTGATATTGATATACTTGAAAATACTCTTTGCATTCTCTTAATCTCCCGATTAAGATAAAACTCCTTAGATAATTTTTTAAAATTACTAAAATCAGAAACTTAAAAACACTGCTATTTAAAATCTGTTACTGGGGCGCCTGGGTGGCTCAGCTGATAGAGCATCTGACTTCAGCTCAGGTCATGATCTCATGGCTTGTGGGTTCAAGCCCCGTGTGCGGCTCTGCATTGTCAGTGTGGAGCCTGCTTGGGATTCTCTCTCTCCCTCTCTCTCTGCCCCTCCCCCCTGCTTGTACTGCCTTTCAAAATAAATAAATAAATTTTAAAATAAAATAAAATATAATTTGTTTCTAAAAATAGTTAAAGGCCTACAAAAAGAATGGGTTATTTTAAAAGCAATTCTATTAACAAGTCACTGATTATACCAAATAGGTTCAACTGAATGTCTTACAAAAGATATTTATAAAAATAAAAATCTTTAATTTTATAATACATTTTTGATAAATATTAAGTCATAAAATTTAAATTTCACTGAGCTAAATAGTTTTTTTCCCTCAATAATTGAGAGGCTGTGGTACAAAAAGAAACACTTTACAATGCATTTGGTGAGTGTTCAGGGGGAAAAAACAAGAACACGCGCAAATAAATGACTTTTTAAATAAGGTAATTTAGACAGTACCCATGTAAAATAAAATATTTTGTATTCATCGTAAAAAACTGGATGTGGCATTTCAGATCCTGTGCCAGATAATTAAATGCCTATTTTAAGTATTTAGACAACATATCAATTTAAGAAAACCCATATAATGAAGAAAAAACTAAATTTCTTCAGTTCTCAATTATTCATAGAAAAATTACTTAGTTTATGTACCCTGGGCCATACAAAGTTTATCTCTATATGGCCACTCCTGAAAAAAAGCACCTCCAATGATAGGGTTTGCAACTTAACTCAAATTTAGGCAAAATGAAGATAGTATGACACTCACAACTGTTACCTGTCAAAACATTACAAAATCAAAATTTACTCTGTGGACTGTTGGCATTACCAGTCTTCAATCATCCTAGCTGAGTAGCATCCTTAGGTTCAATATAACTTAACTATATGCAAATTAACTGTGTATGATTTATGGGACAAATCTATTTTCAACCTTTAAAAAATATCTATTTAAGTGTAAGCTTATTTATACTCATCAGTAAAATCAACAAAAACATTTTGTAACTGACAGAACTGATAGAAATGTTAATTTCATTTAAATGTAACCAACCCTTTGCTAGTCCAACATGCTCTCCATTTTACAGATGAGGAAACATACTCAAAGACTAGGTAATTTGCACTTAATCACATGGCTGAAGGCAAATTCTGCAAGGGTCTGACTAAGGTCAAAGCTCCTCCTGCTCAAACTTTTCCTAAACCATCTACTTGTAGAATCAAAATTTTGAATGCTCTCTGCTGGGTTTCCAGTAAATTTATTAGTAATATACCCACAAAAAGTGAAAGAAACCCCAACAAACCAAATTATTTATTTTAAATACAGATCAGTTCAGGGGTGCCTGGGTGGCTTAGCTGGTTAAGCGTATAACTTCGGCTCAGGTCATGATATCGTGGTTTGTGGGTTTAAACACCACACTGGGCTCTGTACTGACAGCTCAGAGTCTGGAGCCTGCTTCATGTTTTATTTCTCCCTCTCTCCATCCCTCCCTCACTCACACTGTCTGTCTGTCTCTCAAAAATAAATAAACATTAAAAAAAAAAAATAGGGACGCCTGGGTGGCTCAGTCAGGTAAGCGTCTGACTTCAGCTCAGGTCATGATCTCGCAGTCTGTGAGTTCGAGCCCCGCGTCTGTGCTGACTGCTCAGAGCCTGGAGCCTGTTTCAGATTCTGTGTCTCCCTCTCTCTCTCTGCCCCTCCCCTGCTCACACTCTGTCTCTCTCTGTCTCAAAAATAAATATTAAATATTTATTATTAAATATTTGTAAAAATAAATATTAAAAAAATTTTAAAAAAAGGATCAGTTCACAGGAATATGGTATTGTAAGATTTGGAATGGATATCATAAACGGCAAAATATAGAATATGATTTATCAGATATAATTAATTTATTAAACCATCAAAAAGGATTTTAGAATGGGACATACTATATTAACATACATGTCCTATTACATCAAATCATAAGAAAATGACTACATATCTTGCCTCATTTTGTTCAATTATATCAATGTTAAATAAAAAGCTAACTAAATTATTTTTATTATATTAATTAAAGGGTGTGCCTGGCTGGCTCAGTCGGTGGAGCATGTGACGTTAGATCTCAGGGTTATGGTCTCAAGCCCCACATTAGGTGTGGATTACTTAAAGCTAAAATCCAAAAAAAAAACCCACCATTTGGGTTTCTCTGCTAATCTCCCAGCTGAAATCAAGCTTTCAAAGAAATATTCTCTTGCTTAAATTTTATGCAGACCTGCAATACTTCTGCATTTTTAACTACAACTTGCTAAGTGTCACTGGTGTAAAGTCTGCTCAGAATTACTACAGAGCAAAAATCAGAACAATTAAACTTTTAAAACCACTTGAAGGAAAAGGTGTTTCCTTCTAAAGCCACATGTTAATATTCTTTGTGATACCTTTAATAATAGTTTTGAACTTTTTATGGCAGTTCAAAAGTTTGGATGGCGATTTTTCTTTCAAGCTATTTATCAGCATGGTTTTAACACAGTTGAGTCATCATGAGTTCAACCTACTGAGTCACCTGCTTACAGCATCTGCCAACCACAATTTACTAACTGCAGCTTCCTCAAACTTACAACTGAACAAACTCAGTAAGGCCTAGGAACTGTTTAATGTTTTCCAAAGTAGCAACTGAAAATGCTAGTTCAGAACAGCCCCTGTTTAAAAAAAAAATGAGACCAAAAAACCACCAACTTCCTTGCTCTGAATGAGTACTCCCCTATGGCAGTCTCACTCTACCTTGTATTCCTTCCTGGTAGGAGAGGGAGTTCAACCTAAGGAGGACATAAAATTATATGCTGGCTTAATATTTTTAAATAAGTAGTATTCTACTAAAAATAATTCCTAGGTACTAATACTGAGCTGGAGTATATATACAATTGTGCCTATAACTATCCTGATTGTACATGGTGAACATTAACTTTAATAAAATATTTAAAAAGTATAAAATGAAAGTATAATTTCAAAATTAGTATCACACCACGTACTACTTGGGACTGACTTTCACTATTTCCAATTTCCACCATTTCCAGCTATGGAGATGATAAAAGTATGATCTTGGAGAACTAGTGTACTATACTTCTCTTCTCAGAAATCCAGTGCAAACTGGTAAAATCAACAAATCTTATACCTTAACAGACTTAGATCTGCCAAGTGACTTATCTTTTATCATATGACCCCTATTTAAATCTATCTGTTCTCTTCATTAGGATCTGGTAGAGTAAATGCAAATATATGAGAAATGTGTTAAGTTATTCAGAAAAAAGGAAGGAGTTAAAACTACAACTCTTAGGGATCATAACACAGAACATCTTAATTACCTAGTACTGCTAAGGAAGACAGTATGGCACCATGTACTTCACAATGATTAGCAATCATTGTTTTGCTATTCCTAAAAGGAGAAGTTTAGCTCATCTAAAAATCTAATCAGAAAAGGCAAGGGGGGCACTTGGGTGACTCAGTCGGTTGAATATCTGACTGCGGTTCAGGTCATGATCTCAGTTTGTGAGTTCGAGCCCCACATCAGGCTCTGTGCTGACAGCTCAGAGCCTGGAGCCTGCTTCAGACTCTGCCCCTCTCCCACTCTCTGTGTCTCTTTCTTTCAAAAATAAACAAAAACATTAAAAAAAAAAAGAAAAGAAAAAAGGGATGAGAACATAACAAAGTGTGTTAAACAATATGGTTTGTCTACAAAAAGGGAAGTTTTAAAAGGTAACTGAGAGAAATAAGAAAATTTATCAAAAATACTAATTCTGAAAGTATCTCTATAGTTCCTTCACTAAATAGCATACTAAATACAATTTAAGCTTTTCATCAGTATTCATGGTTATCACCATCATTGATTATTCTGACTGACTCACTCATAATTCTTAATTGATGTAAAGTGTTGTTCCCTCTCTATCAAAGCATTCCAAAAAAACAAAATTTGAGTTGTAACTATTTTTTAGTTTCTTTTGTACCCTCTTGTGCTCTCAGGTTCCCAATCTACTACCATCATCCCACGTTAAAAATTCTCCTTTTGGCTTCTCCTGTTCTGTGGTAGAGGAAATCAGATTAGACAGCTTGTTGGAATTATGGTGGGACTAAGAGGCTCCCTATGAGCAAAATTTTTAGGAATAGATTTCATTCGGTAAGATTTTGAACACCAGGTGTCTATTAATTACTATGTGAAGAAACTGGCAACACATATAAGAGTTTAGGCCCTTGATGATCTTAACAAGTCTGTAGGAACAGGGACTAACACAATTCACTGCAATACAGATTAAACAGAATTTTACATATGCTACAGAGGAGAGACAAAGATAGTGGGGAAGAATCTAGCTAGGTGTATTGGGAAAGGTATCACAGAAGAGGAGATATTTGAGTTGGGACTTGAGAAAAGCATGGACACCTAGAACTTTGGAACTTTAAAAATTCAAGGACACCTGCCAGGCTCTGGGAGATCAGAAAAGGACTTTCAAAAAGAAGGAAATGTAGGTGCAGGCACATACAGATGACACAGTATGGCCTATGTGGAGACGTGTAAGTACACTGGTATGAACTGAGTGAGGACAGGGGATTAGGTGAGTAGGAGAGCTCTGTAACAGACTAGCAAGATGAGAATGAAAGCCTGACAATTAAGATGAGGATAGCATGGACACAGTGATGCTACGGCAGAATCAAAAATATTTGAAGGCCAATAAATAAGGGCAAATGCAGAACATAAAACATTCCCAGGTGTCTTTTTGAGTGACAAAACAGGGTAGATATGTCATGCCATTTAGCCAGGATACAGAAGGACGGGGAAGAATGACAAGGTCTGAGTGCTGAAACTTAGCACAGCAGAGAGTAGAATATATGGGTTTTACCTGCTCAATGACATCTACTGAGATGACAATTTATTTATTTATAAATAAGTCTTATTTATAAATAATTATTTTAATATTAACATTAAATACAATTGATTTAATAAAAATTATTTTATATATATGCATCATGATAGTCTATCATTCCTGATGTTGAGAACTTGTAACAATTTAGAATGTCAACTGTGAATTAGAATCAACTATATATATAAAACTTTCTTGTTTATATATGTATACGCATTTAGGGATGAAAATAATGATATATGGAATTTGCTTTAAAATAATACATAAGAAAAAAATAACAAATAAAATAATACATGAGGAGGTGCCTGGCTTGCTCGGTCAATAGAGCATGACTCTTGATCTCAGGGTTGTTAAGTTTGAGCCCCATGTTGAATGTAAAGATTAGTTAAAAAAATAAAATCTTATTTATTTATGTATGTATGTATGTATGTATGTATGTATGTATGTATGTATGTATTTATTTAATGACTGCGTGAGTGAGAGAGGGAGGGAGGGAAGAGAGAATCTTAAGCAGGCTCCATACTCAGCACGGAGCCAAATGTGGGCTGGATCCCATGAGCCTGGCTGGGATCACGACCTGAGCCGAAATCGAGAGTCAGACACTTAACAGACTGAGGCACTCAGGCATGCCCCAAAATAAAATCTTAAAAAAAAAAAAAAAATACTCTCTCTCTGCCCCTCCCCCGTTCATGCTCTGTCTCTGTCTCAAAAATAAATAAAACGTTAAAAAAAAATTAAAAAAAAAAAAACAAAACAAACGGGCGCCTGGGTGGCTCAGTCGGTTAGGCGACCGACTTCAGCTCAGGTCACGATCTCGCGGTCTGTGAGTTCGAGCCCCGCGTTGGGCTCTGGGCTGATGGCTCGGAGCCTGGAGCCTGTTTCCGATTCTGTGTCTCCCTCTCTCTCTGCCCCTCCCCCGTTCATGCTCTGTCTCTCTCTGTCTCAAAAATAAATAAAATGTTAAAAAAAAAAATTAAAAAAAAAATACATGAGGAACAGTAAAAGGAAACAATTTTGGCCATTTATTGGTAATTGTTAAAAGTGGATGACAGGTACATGGGAATTCATTTTACTCTTCTATGTCTGTATGTTTTAAATTATCTGAGAAAAAAGTTTTATCATATCACACTTCTGCTAAATACCCTCCAAAAGCTTCCACTTCAGTTTTAATAAGAACAAAAACCAAAGTATAATAGCCTAAAAAACCCTACTTAATCTATCTTTCTTATTTCATTTCCTACTCATCTCTATATAGTTGTCTTCTTGTTATTCTATGAATGCTTTCATTTTAGAATCCTTCTAGTTTTCTGTTCCAGCTAATACTTCCTATCAGGTTTTATTTTCCTCTATAGCACTTACAGTCTCCTAATACACTAAAATAGTTACTTTGCTTGCTATTTCTTCTCACTACAAGGTAAGCTATGTGAAAGCAGGACAATTTTTTTGTTTTGCTCATGGTTGTACTTTAACTATCAGAAATGGTGCCTGGGACACAGCAGGTGCCCAATAAATATTTGTAAAACTGAATCAGTTATAGAAAAGGGGAACACATTTCTGATAGGAGAAAAACAGAGGTAAGGCAAGGTGCAAAAACAGGTTTGAGGGCAGGAAGTTACGGGGGTTCCTGCTTGTAACCTACATTTCCACTGTGCTGCAGGAGAAAGGTCTTCTATTAAGAGAAAAGGAGGAAGCTAAGTAGAACAGTGATAATTTAAAATAACTACTTTAGGAAATGCAAACTCAAGGAACATAGAAAAGGATGCCAACTGGTACCAAAGGATCAGCTGAGATCAGACACAATACAATGGCACCAAAATACATGGGGGTATTTTTCTCCTGCTTAAGTCTTAAAGCTTTTAAGCATTTGGGGCAAGGCTTTCCAACAGGATTTTCTGTAATAATGGAAATGTTATATATTTGTATTGTCCCACATATGGCTATTTGAGTACTTGAAAAGTGGCTGGTCTAACAGACAAAATTTTAAGTTTACTTTTACTTAATTTAAATTTAAATAGTCACATGTGACTAGTGGCTATCAATAATGGGTAGTGCATTTTTAGGGTGTAAAAATGAAGAAAATAAATGGTAGAGGACTATTCTAGGATCAGAAATTAAAAGACAGATGTGGCAGAAAGACAAAGCCATAAGGGAGTTAAAGTGTTGGTAAGAATGGGTAAAATAATATACCACAGAAATATCTTGGCTGGAAAAAAATGAAAAGAAAACTCGAAGGGGTGCCTGGGTGACTTAGTTAAGCGTTGGACTCTTGATTTCGGTTCAGGTCATGGTATCCCAAAGTCATGACATCCCGAGTCATGTGTTGGAGCCTACCTGGGATTCTCTTTCTCCCTCTCTTTCTGCCCCTTCCCTGCTCATGCTCTCTCAAAATAAATTAGATATTAAAAAAAGAAAAGAAAAGAAAGGAAAACTGGGAAAATACAGGAAATTCTCCAAATATACGACCCACCGGTAAAGTTGTAAAGTCTGTGAATGAGATTTATTTTGTCTGCTTAGGGTTTTAAGAAGTTGCTACTTCTTCCCCCCCAATTTTTTTAAAGTTTATTTATTTGTCAGAGAGGGAGACAGACAGAGTGCGAGCAGGGGAAGGGGCAGAGAGAGAGGGAGACAAAGAATCTGAAGCAGGCTCCAGGCTCTGAGCTGTCAGCACAGAGCCCAATGCAGGACTTGAACTCACAAACCACGAGATCATGACCTGAGCCATGAGCCAAAGTAGGCACTTATCCAACTCCGCCACAGAGGTGCCCCAAAAAGTTACTTCTTCTGAGTCTCTTGAAAGTACACATATCATGAACTGAGATTTACCCAACCAGACCTATTTATTTTTGAACTTCTAGCATATTTATTCTCTTTATCCCCAATTCTATAGGGCATAATGTACTTCCATATACACTATCTCACAGACAATGGCAACACTATCATGAGGCAGGTATTATATATCTAATTTCATATATGAAAAATAAATTCTTAAGTGGCTGCATGCTTTGCCCAACATTTCATAATTAGAAGCAGAGTTGGGATCTGAGTCCAAATTCGCCTGTTGTTCTACTACCAAATTCTGATACTTTAATAGATGTAAATTTTTTCTTCCACACCAAAGGGCCAAAATTCCCTAATAAGATACATTTTAGATATGTGTATATATGCAAATGACTACATTGTAATCTTAAAAACAAAATTTCAAAACTTTGGCAGCTTATTATTTAATTGATGTATGCTGATTTTCCCTCTTTATTTTTAAATTTGATTCACTGTAAACTATTACTGGCACTAGGGGTGCCTGGGTGGCTCAGTCAGTTAAGCCTCTGACTTCAGCTCAGGGCATGATCTAACAGTTCATGAGTTCAAGTCCTGCATTGGGCTCTCTGCTATCAGCACAGAGCCCACTTGGAATCTTGTGTCCCTCTCCTTCTGCCCTTCTGTCTCTGTCTCTGTCTCTCTCTCAAAAAAAAATATATATATATTGGCACTAAATCAGATACAGTAATGTCCATGGAGTTTAGGGGCAAAAGGCAGAGTTACCCAAGCTGTACCATGATCGACATCAAATTCATAAAAAATTCTGGTACAAATATGTATACATATGCCTATGTGTTGAATAAGACAGAATGGGAAAGAGGAAGTGATCAAGACCAATAAAAACAAACCAGTAGTACTGTCTGCTCCTTTACAGCACTGGTAGTGAACATCATTAATTAACTACACCCTTGGCCAGAGCAGAGTCTCATAATCCTTCATAACACAAACAACATGCTATTTAGGTGATACCAACTAATGCCAAGTTTGCTCGACTGACATAATGTGTATGCAATAAACATTAAGAAAAATTCTCAACAATGAACTTTGTTAAGTATTGGAAGGAATCATTAATATGTGATAGAACTTAATTCCTTGAAAACAGAAGTGGATGTGGGAGAAACAAGATTAAAAAACTATCCTTCCGAGGTGCTCTAGGTATTGTGTTTTTAAAGTCTACATACTGGATAATGCCTTAAAGACCTATAAGTTTGAGGTCTATTACATACATGAGGAGGCTTTACCTATTCAGATTTTTTATTCACCCCTTTATACAGAATTTTTCTATTTCCAGACATGGCTATTCCATGAATGGCAGTGGGGAGAGGAGTTATTAATTGGTAATAATATCATGTTATTCCCTTGTAGGGTACCTGACACACAGGCAAAGAACATCTAGGAAAACAATTGGATTTTTAAGATCTGTTACTATAGGTATCCCTATTTAAGTGCAAATCTGATGGAAAAACAGGACCCATTTATGATTAATAACCTCTATCAAATGACTAGGTATAAAGAGCTCAAGAGAATGTGAGTGATATAAGAATTTGATCTAGAATGAAAATGGGTTGGTAGGGGAACCACTGATAGCCATGAGAAAACATCACACTGTTGAGACTCAAGAAGCAAAACTATGGTAACATTCAGAAAGGAATGACAGAGGGTGCCAGGGTGGCTCAGTTGGTTAAGCGTCCGACTTCAGCCCAGGTCATGATCTCACGGCTCGTGAGTTTAGCCCCACGTCGGGCTCTGTGCTGACAGCTCAGAGCCCAGGGCCCGCTTCAGATTGTGTTTCCTTCTCTCTACCCCGCCCCTGCTCGTGCTCTGTCTTTCAAAAATAAATAAACATTAAAAAAAATGGATACTCTTAAAAAAAAAAAAAAAGGACTGACAGATACTTTCTTCTCACATTTTAGGGTGTTGGCAGTGGCTGGTAGGCCACTGTCTGCAGACCACTTCTAAGCTGATTTGACAAGACTGTTTTGAAGGTTTCTAAC